GCAGGGAGACCAGCTGCTCGCCAGGCCCCTCAGAAACGGGTGCTTCAACACAGCAGAGGATGAGAGGATGAAAGCATGCCCGCGTCGGGGAGCTCAAGGACCTGGCCTTCTCCACCGCCCGCCCCTGGACTGCACTTCTTCGAGCCACCACGACCCAGCTGACCTCAATGCACCAGGTTAACCCCGGTCACCTTCAGGTCAGTCTTAAGTATTGCGGGTTGGGGTCCTGGCTGTGCCTGAAGGCGCTGGCCTTCCCTTTCATGGATGGAAACAGTCCTCCTCCTCTTGGGCCGCGGATTGCCAGGCCTTTCTTTGTTGTGCTAATCTGAGTCTGTAAATTCTCAAAGCTTAGCTGCCTAGGGAGCTCTGGTGGCCTAGTGGCAGGAAGCCACGGGCAGTCCCCAAGGGGCAATGGCCAAGAGGCAGTCCAAATCCACCAGATGCTCCACTGGAGGAGGGGCTATCGCCTCCTGTACCAGTCAGATCTGATTTGACAGCACACAATAAAAAGCGGGGGGGAGCTATTTTCTGCACCCCACTCCTTGGGAGCGTGGTGGCCGTGCTTGGCATGAGGGAGGCCTTGGTGGCCCCCCACTGGCTCGTCTGTGGGACAGTCGTGCGAGACCAGGGCTGGTAAGCAGCACGCCTGCACTGGCCCTTCAGTTCACTATGAGGGGCCATAACGCCCTGGTCGAGACCCAGTCACTGAAGCTGCCTCCGCGGTCACGTGGGTGCAGGCAGCACAGCCTGTACCTGACAACAGTCAGACCAGGGTGAGACTGCAGCACGGCTGTCACCTAGTGCTTCTGGACCAGGGACAGCTAGGCCAAAGGTCATATGGCAGCCAACAGGTGGCTCTGACTCGGGGTAAGGAGCCCTGGTGACACAGTGTCTTAAACAGCTGAATAAGGTTAGTGGTTCACATCTCTTGAGAGGAAGATGGGAATCTTGGTGATGTCAGGGGCAGATATGCCAAAGGTCACGTGGCAGCCAACAGGTGGCTTTGACTCGGGGTAAGGAGCCCTGGTGACACAGTGTCTTAAACAGCTGAATAAGGTTAGTGGTTCACATCTCGAGAGGAAGATGGGAATCTTGGTGACGTGCTCCCATCAGTCTATCGAGATCGGCTCTGTCGCAGTACAGACTCAAGAGCAGCCGTTACCAACAAAGCAGAAGGCTGGCGGCCCCATTAACAGCTTGCTGGGGCCTTGGCGAACATGCCTAGCTAGGACCGCGTTTGCCAGCTCTGTGCCTCACTTCCGCGGCCATCACAAGCCGGCCTCTTGCTGCCGCTGTCGCAGCACTGGTTCTGCTTTTAGAGGTTTGGGTTCCTGTTCAGTGTCGCTGAATCGGTGCCACCCAAAGCTGACGCTCCAGCGCGTTTTCAGGGGCAGCGGATGGCCCAGGAAGAGACTGCCCACCCTTCTCCCGCTGAGCAGCTAGCTGGCGGAGTCCAGCCGAGGCTGGCTGCGCAATTCCTTACCACTAAACGCCACCAAGGGTTTCCGCTCCTTTAGGAGCTATGAGGCACCCACCCCATCGTCACAATGACAATCAAACAGGAGGTAGTAACTCCAAACACTCAAGACTGAGTGAGTGCCACTTCCTTTAAGTCTAAACTCGAGTTGGTAAATTAAGGGAGGTCAGTGGCCTAGTGCCAAGATGCCATGCTGCAATCCCAAAGGGCATGTTCAGATCGCTGGAGGGTCAGCTGTGGATGCAGCTGTGCCGTACGTACTAAGTCGGTAACTCGTAAAATAAGCAGGACCAGGAAGACGTGGTCAGTCTCCCTTGTGTACATCCAGCACAGTTCGCTCTGTATACAAGAGACAGCAGCTACCCCTAGTCCAGGTGTAAACGTACTGTATTTTTCCCTCTCAATAAGTTTTAAAAGTCCTGTTCCCTATTGGGGCTATGAGGAACAGTGTGCGTGAACTGAGACTATAAAAGGCCACAGCCAGGGCCGTCTGCTTCCAGTAGCTGTCCTCTTTGGCCTTCACCTGGCACCTCCAAGCACACTGTCACTCCAGCCTGTCCTCAAGGAGCGCAGGCCACCAGCTGGTGCTGAAGGGAAAGGCCAGGGGCAGAGGGCAAGCGGGCCCACAGGGAGCAGGCCTGGGCCCAGCTCTTCTGCAAGGACAGTGTAGGAGGAGGTGACACTAGACAGGGACGCCAGCTGCCTCTACCCACGCAGGCCCAGCAGTCACACTGCCAGCCCCAGAGTGGAATGGCCAACAGGGGGAGAGCCTGTTTCAGAAGCCAAATGAGGACAGGGTGCAGCACTGCTCAGGACGGAATACTGAGGACAAAACCGCAGAACAATCTAGAAGCAAACACCACCAAACAGTCCATGTCCACCTGACTGTAGCCAGTCACAAACACAGCACACTTCCTCAAAAGCTCAATGCATAACTATGAGGGGCGCGCACAGAACTGAAAGCAAGGGCCTAAGGCATGCTGCCCAGCACGGCTCACCGTCCACCAGGGTGAGACAGTCCAAGCCGGGTAGATAAGCAAAATGTGGGCCACCCAGAAAACAGGAATGAAATGGCAAGTGTCTTATTGTGTATACTCTGCCCAAAGAAACAGGAACCTTTTCTTAATGGGAAGGGAAGCGGGATGATAATCGCTGTGCAGCTGTCTCGGAACTGCCATCCTGACAGACAAGGGAAAGCTGCTTAAACCACAGAGAAGCTTAAACTTAGCTCAGCTGCTAAACAGTGTTTGCCTTTGCACTGTCCTCAGCACTGGGCAGGAGACTCGGGCTCAGGCCGGGCAGGCGGCTGGGGATGCACAGGGGCCGGAGTGGCAGACAGCAGACAGGGAGCTAAGGGAGGAGACAGGAGCAACTGGAAGCAAAGGCCCAGGAATGCCATCAGCCACATGCTCTGGAGATTCTCAGCACCTAATCTTGGAGTGGTGGCCTGAGGGGTGGCACAGGTCTGCAGTCTCCAGAGCTAGACTGCCCAAGGGCCTCCCCCAGGCTCCAAGCCAGCAGAGAAGGGCTGGAGGGATTGGGAGGCCCTAAGTGACAACACTGAGTAGAGGGAGAAGGCAAGGTGAGTGTCAGAGGACTGACTTGCAGCTCTCGCTCCCCCCCACTCCTCAGCCCCCGCGTGGTGCGCGCTCTTGGCCCACGCGTGCGCTTTCCTCGCCCCACCCCCGCGTGTGCAATCTCGGCCCACACGGGGTGCACAATCGTGGTGCGCAGTCTCGGCCCACGAGGGCTAGCCCTCCTGGGTCCCACGTGTAGCTCTCTCCTTGGCCCACGTGTGCTCTCTTTGCCCCCCCACCGCGTGTGCGCTCTCGCCCCCCACCG